CCTTTAACTCTCACTCAGACTAGTCTTCCAAATCCGCTTAAGTCAGCCAATTCAATCGGTCAGCGTTTTCTGAGTGCCCATTATGTGGCTGCGGACCTTATCTTCCAGACGGGGGCCACTCCTAAGGAGAAGGGCACCAGGCCAGGGGGGCGCATGTCTCGCTACCGGCCAGGCGGGCGCTCAAGCACTGGGGTGAGTGACACCCTCAGGCACCAAGTATGCGGGGGAGGAGCCTGGGGAGTGGGGTCGGAAACGTCATGCAAACACAACCCAGCCGTGAGTCCTGCTGGACGCCGGGGCGGGCGGAGGGGGGCCTTCAGGACGAGGTGTTTTCAAAGGTAACCAGGAGCTCAGGAAGTGGGGAGAGCAGGGACTGGGAGGAGGGCCATGGGGTGGGGAGGCAGACGCACGGAGGGATACCTGCTGGGGAAGTGGGGCAGCAGCCCCTGGGACTCCGGGCTCAAAAGCACGCTGGGAGGGCACACAAGATGCCCCAAAGGGCCCTTGCACTGGGTCCCACTGCCCGCCACCATCACCTGGGTCCAGCGTGCTTCCCCTGCACCAGGGGCCCCGGTGGCCAAGCAGGTCCCTCTGGGAGCCTGGGACCCAGGTCAGGGCACAGTACTTGCCTCTCCACAGACACCCAGGCCACCCAGCTAGGAACACCTGCCCCCTGGGTCGTCTCAGCGCAACACCGGCACAGCCCTAGTCCGCACCATTCTTTTCGAGCGCGGTCGTCATGCCTGTGACAGTATCGAGAGAGACGCCCGGAAGTGCGAAAGCACTTTTGCAAACGGCGTCAGGCTCAAGACACAGACAACAGGGCCCGGGAGGGCAGGGCAGTGGGAGGGACCAGGGCAAAGAGGGGGATGCCGGTGCCCGGCTGCCAGAGAGGGGCCACGAGGGGAGGGCAGTGGGAGGGACCGGGCATAGAGGGGGACACTGGTGCCCTTGAGGTCCCAGGTGGGGGCCATCAGCCACATGTGCACATGACAGGCACACACGACCGACACGAGACAAACACGACATGAGCCACAAGACAGACACGCACGTGACACGTGTACACACAATACAGTCGTGACAGGCACACAACACACAACTCACAAAAGACACTGAGGCTACAGACACACAGTGGTGTGAGCGGCCACAAAAGCAGACAAATTCTAATCCAGAGAGAAAAAAAAGGAAGCAAAGGGGCATCACAATTTTTAAAAACAGCCCGACTACTGCACTTTGTCTGAAGCATATACTTTTTCCTCAAGGAACCTGAAGAAAACCTGTGGGGACAGAACTTGAACACAGGGGTCAGGACACACATGAGGCGCAAGCCCTCACAGATGTACATCTGCAGGTGGAGCAAAGTCGCTGTGAGAAAAATAACCTGGGGCCATTCCCTCCAGTGACAGCACGCTTCTGCGCAGTGCCGACAGGGCAGACCCGAAGCACTGCCTCCTTGTGTGTGGTCAGGCCGTCCAGGGACCCTGCCCCTGCCACCGCCCCGGTCCCACATCCCAGCCTCCCCCAGACGCCACGCGGACACCCTGCTCCCAGGCTGCGGGGCTCTGTTGCGGCTCCCTGCTCCAGTCCTCCCAGTAAGACCCATGAAGAAGGGTTTCGGGACACATGTGAAGGGGACTCAGTGGACAGCTTTCAAAGAGGACAACCGTCTGCTAGAGGCAGGTCCCTCCTGGAAGTCCATGGAGGCTAGCCCTGGGACCTGGTCCCCCTGCCCCGTGGGCCCCCTTCCCCCTCTCGGCCCTCGGCAGCCCCTCCACCAGACACGGCGCGGGGCGTGAGACACACGGCCCAGGAGCCCTCATCTGTCAGCAGGAAGACGCAGCTGCTGCCCACGACACCACGGATCAGCTGCAGCAGGGCAGGCGCTCAGGAAACACACACAGCCCATCAGGGCCGCAAAACGGGGGCGTCTCTGCAACGCTCACGCACACACGCCAGCTAATGAGCATGTGGGGCACATGTACAGCTTCAGGGCCCAGGAGCCAGCAGGTGAAAAACATGATCTCCAAACATCCCCAGGGGACAAGGAGGCAAAGCCGGTGCTGGTCTTCACACCAAGGCCTGTTCTGACGGGTGACAACTTGCGCCGGACAATAACGGAGGTTCATGACACCTTGGGTCTAGTTCACACTCCATTCACCGCGGTGTGCAAGCCTCCCGGGTGGGGCAAAGCTCAGGGCGAAAACGGTCAAGAGTCTCTTTGCAGACCGTGTTGGTGGCTCTGCAGAGCTTCTCTGTACGTGTTGCGTGTGGCGGGTACAGATCTTCGCCCCAAGCTCTCCTGGAGGCGCCTGAACTGAGTCTGGCGCCTCATCCCATGGGCATGACATCAGACCACCTGACACAGATCGGGGTGAGCCATGAAGCCCCTCGGGCCGAGGAATACGGCCACAGTCGGCAGCCGGGCAGCTCGCTGCTGACCAGGGGAGACACAAAGCCCGTGGCATTTCAAGCTGCCAAACAGCCTTGGGCACAGGACTGAAGTGCGGTTCCGCCTGGGGCAGGGAAAGCAGAGCTCTTAGGACTCAGCACGGATGCTGTGAAACGGCCGCATCTTCTCCCAGAGCAGCTGGCCGACGGGAAAAGACTGAACAAGAGGGGCGGCCGCCTGAGACCGGAGAAGGGAGCTGTGGGCCTCGGGAAGCCCCGGCTGGAAATGAAGACGTGGGGGGCCCCGAAGGAGGCGCAGGCCTGAGCCTGTGCACGACACGGCCTCTGGGAGCCACGGCCGCTGACCACCGGCAGGCACACAGCCTGGGACCGACCAGTGAGCAGGAAGACACCAGGATCCGCAGGAGTACAGCAGCTGGCCCCTGGCCCTGGGGGGCAGCCCAGACCCTGCAGAGGACCCCCAGGCGGCTCTGAGCACAGTGCAGGAGCGGGGAGTAAGGGGAGGCGCTGTTTAAGCCCGTGGGTTCAGGTACTTTCCTGTGCAGCCTGTGAAATGAACACAGGATCTGGTGCCCAGGAGGTGGTGCGTCTCCGGACCCTGGCTTGGGCTGCTGCTCTCCCAGGAGCTCCGCAGGGAGCCAGGCCACCCTGACAGCCTCGGAAGACACAGGCCCCCAGAGCCTGCAGGGAGGGCCCAGAGGGTGGCAGGCCCTGGAGGCAGGAGGGCGTCATGGTGTGAGGTGACATGGAGCACTGGCCAGAGCCGTGAGCGGGGCAGCGGCTGCACACGGGAGGCCTGAGCAGACGGCACCAGGTGGCTCTGTGTGCCCCGCCGACGGTAAACTGAGAGAGGGAACCTGGGAAGAGACGGTCGGCCTGAGCCTCTCGGCCTCTCCAGACACCAACAAAGGCCAAATTAAGAGGCACATGTCAGGAAAGTGCCCTGGAGAGGCAGCCCAGGGCTGGCCCCGAATGTCTGCCTAAAAACCTCAGGATGACCAGGTCAGGGTACCGGTGACAGGAAGGCCATGCAAGAGGCTGAGGGGGCACCTCCCCACCTTTGCTCAGACAGAGCGGGAGCGCGAGGGTCAGTCACGGGTGAGGTCCACCAGCAGGAGCCCAGGTAGGGCGGGGACCATCTCAGCAGGACCTGCGTGTGGCTCCCTCCAGGGGGCAAGAATTCCCTGGGGGCCCGGGACGTTCGGAGGGGCCTGTCTCACAAGATGCTGCCAAGCTGGCCCACAGGGGCTGGAAGAGGCCCCACCCACCGGCCCTGCAGGAGCCAGTCAGCCACACCTGGCAAAGATGGGGGCATTTTGGAGATGAAATTAAGGTCAGTTAGTTAATAGGGGGATTGAGTTAATCAATAAGGAGATTGGTCAAAAAACGGTGACTTTTCTAGAAGAGGACTACCTACCTGTTTCCTGTATCTCCACCCCAGGAGGTCTGCCTGCCTCCCTGAAAATGGGGTGGAGGGTGGAGGCTGGATTCTGGCTTAAGGCAAGTGGGGGCAGAAACAGCTGGCAGCAGGGCCGGCTCAGGCGGCAGGGGTGGGGTGGCACGGCGGAGGGAGTGGGTCAGGCTGGCAAAGGGGCAAACCCCCGAGTCCGGGGGCAGGACGGGGTCTGCTTAGTATGAATCAGCTCGTGTTTCTTCTTCATTGTTGAACTAAATAGCTATTTCTATAAAAGTATGTTACCACCCCAATTATGCTATGTCAGAGGTGCAGTACCTCCATCAGAGGTTCAGTAACAGCAGAAACAGCCGCTGGGCCAGCAGCTCTGCCCTGCCTGGGCCGGAGGAGGAAGGGTCACAGTGGACCTGCTCGGAGGCGCTACTCAACATGGGGAACCAAGCAACAGAGAGCAAAGGAGAGAAGGAACACGCAGGGAAGGCCTCTCAGGAAACTGTTTTTACCCTGAAGAAAAACATAAACCTTGGGGCGGAGGCAGAGGCGGGGGAAGTCAAAGTAGAAAGAAAGCAGCGCAGGATCCTCTGAAAGCCACAGACTCCAGAGGCGAGGCCCCGGCAGGGGACCGCCTGCCCCGTACCGCTCGGAGCCAGGAACGTGCGCAGTGGGTCACCTCCACACTGCCTCCACGACGCGTCTACAAGCGAGGGGACCCAGAAAAGCATGCAGGCGTGTTGAATAAACGAGGAAAACACATCAGAAACTACAAGGCAAAGCACACAGACTTTGTTCTGGCTTATGGAATAGAAAAGCCTCAAATGTGAGATATCCCCCCAAAGCCAGAGTTTGAGCGCTGGTTACTGGCAGTGATGTAGAAAGAATGAGGAGACACGTGGCCAGTTCAGCAGCACAGATGTTTGGATTGGCACTAATGTACAAGATCTCAGAGCCTGAAGAGAAGCTGGGGTGGGAAGCAGCTCATTGGGGACCATCCTGCCCGGTGCACACTGTGAGCGGGCACTGCCTGGAACAGCCAGGATTCCAGCCTCCACTCTTAGACTTTGGATGACAGTAGCTGCCACATTCTCCGTGGATACAGCACCTGCACAGATCACGCACCAATCCATCAGCATTACAAGACCAATCTAGACAATGCACACAAATCCCCAAGAATACCTACTTTTATTGTAGCAGGTGGCCAGCACACTTTTGTCTGCAGGACTGGCACTGATATGCCAGATTTCACCCACTTGATGGAGGAGGACATTTTTATTTATAATGTTATTTTCATCATCGAAATCTATGACGTGGATCTGCAAATAACAAAAGAGCACATCAGGACTTCGCTGTCCAAGAACCTTGAACACAATGATTACAAATAATCAAATGCACCTTTAACATCTCTCATTAACTGCTGTTCTTATCACACTAACAGCACAGACGTCTATAAACTCATCTTCCTGTCATCTTCTCAAAAGACAAGCACAAAATCCCCGTAGGGTATTTTTAAGATTGTAAGCCCCATCATGGCCCGTCCTAAAGAAACAAGACACCGAAAGCCCATCCCAGGTGTTGGGCGAGGCCATGGCTGCGTCAGGGCCAGGGTTCAGGGTCTGCAGATCTAGCCTTTCAGACCTGCCACTGGGCGGGGGAAGTCGGGAGGGATGGGACCACTCCTAACCACTGGACTGCCCGCTTTGCCTGCTCCACCGCGGGCATAACTCAACAGGCGGGAGGGACTGAGAAAGGACAGTACGTTAACACATACACGCTTCTTTTTGGAAATGAGTTCAACCGTCAATGTTTATGATCATACATTCATTATAATAGTATTACATTTTAAACTCTAAATGACATTAAATATGTAATCTCTATGCTTTTCTGAATAACTTTCAGAGGAATTAAAATTATTTTCACCCAAGTCAATGAGAAAAATAAAACATTCATTTAAAAAATAAATCCTATACTAAGAAATATTCATGTGTTTGCACAAAAATTTATATCCAAGAATGCTCACTGTAGCATTGATTATCGTAATGAAAACTCAGAAGTCACCTAAATGTCTAGCAATAGGGAATTGCTCAAATAAATTGTAGAATTTGACTAATATCACACTATGATGCCAGTCAATACCCTACAAAGACTACTTAGCGCCAGGGAAGCGGCTCCGTGACACACACTGAAGGGGACAGGGGCAAGTGAAGACGGGCACCAAAGTGGCCTACGGGGCGTGTGAACAGTGAGTGTCCAAAGGGGACACGTACAGGAAGGTGAGCCGTCTTTGGACAGCGGGGCCTACAGCAGCTCTTCAGTTCTTCACGGTTGGTTTGTATTTTTCACATTTCTTCATGACTGATATGCATTACTTTGCAGTAAAAACAATTTTGACACGTTTCCATGATACTCCAAAGCCTCCACACTCTCTGCTTCCCGCAGAGGGGCTCTTATTCTTGACTGCTTCCTCTTGGGCAGTTTCAGTGTGGAAGTAACCTCCAGTCCCCTTCAGGGGTCGCTTTGCACTCAGAGCAGAATCCAAATCCCGCCACTGTCACTTAAAGCCATGTGACCCTGAACCCCGGTGCCCCAAGGGTAAGTAAGTAAGACGGGAAATGAACTTCCCAGGATCGAGAGAAGCCACCTGCAGAGTGCACACACAGCTCACTGCAGGGTGAGAGCTGGGGCAACCAGCGCCTTCCCCTCTCTGCCCCAGGAGGAGATTAAAAATCATTCTTCTTACTTGTATCTTTACAACTCTTTTCAGGAAGCTTCTCCCAGAACTCGCAGCCTAATGAAGCGTTCACGGTGGATTCGGAAACCTTCCCGGGGGGCAGCTTCTAAGTCCCACACTCCGTATCAGAGCCGGGGCCACTTCCCAGCTGCGAAGGCTTACTGTCCTTTTACTGTCCTCTCTCCCTTCCGTCCACACCCGAGGGAATATTACCTGTAAATGCCTTCCCCTCTGTGACACAGTACACATTTAAAAACCTCTTGATAACTAATTATCAACTGGTTATTAAGTGATCACTGAGAAAAATACCTGGCAGTATTTACTAAAACTAAACATACATACGTCCGATGACCCAGCAAACTGCCTGGGTACATGGCCATGTGCATGGACGTCCACAGTGGCCTTACTCATG